TCTTCTATTTGCATTTTCTTACCACAACAAATATACTTATTTGGTTTAGTAGGTATGAATCTGGGTTTAAGACATTCTATACAAAAGTCATAAGCAAACTCTTTACATTCTTCACACTCCATATATAGACTTAACATATTTAACTACATAGACACGGGATGCGGGTAATCGCGGTACGAATCGAGGAATTCACTTTAGACCGGTAATCCTTCGGTGGTCACTGTTTTGGAACCCCCATCCCCTATACTACTTGGCTCTTACAATGCTAAACTAATGCAATAAAAAACATCTAATAACAAGTAAATACATTTTAAATATAATCTCATTTCTCTGACAAGTTTCTTTCATATGGCTACCCTTTATCCGAAAACGAAAGTTATTCTAAATTGGAAAGCTCATGGTCAAAGTTTCAATGTTATGTTGATAACAAAAGTTCACAAAATTAGATACCATAGTCCTAGCTCAATGGAACAATCGAGGAATTGGGKAAAGTACCAACTTCTTTTCACCATTCATCTCTGTATTACAAGAGGCAAACGTATGTTTTATGCGCTGAACTGGCATGTACGTAGACCAGGTGTGTCAAATTCATTCAGCTTCCAAACCTGAATTGGTTTTCCATAATGATCCTTATCCTGATCAATACTATACTACCAAACACAAGCAAAAATGTGTTGTAGAGGTACCCCATGTATCTCTGAGCAATGTTTAATGTAACAATTAACTTGTCCTGGTCTGATAAAAGCTGAAGGGTTAATGTTCCCATTTACATCTGTCCAAGAGGCTAAGACCCTTGCAGATCGAAGAMTTCTGCTTTCCATCCTTGATCCAAACTTTTCACCTCCAAGAAATATATTTCTATATTTCCGGCATGTTAATGAGAGTGATGATAATGGTACGTTGCTATCAGAATAAATTATCTTATAAGTAGAATGTAACAACCTTAAATCATCTGCTTTTATAACTTCAGGTTTATAAGAGTTCGGTAGTCCTACRCTTTCCAAGTTGCTCCAGACAATATCTTGTAAGTTGTAACAGGTTGCACTTTTATAAAGCTTGAAAGCATTAAGGGGGTTGAACTGATGGACACAAATTTTCTTTTGTTCTTCAARAAATGGTGCAAAGTGGCTCTTAAACTCTTATGGAAACTCTACACTCCACATATACCTTCCTGCTAAAAGCTTTCGCATCATCTGTACTTCAATAGCCATCCCATTCAAGTGTGTTGCACCAAGGATACCATTAAAGCGTTCGAAACTAAAACACCAAAACACATGTGCAGGGCCAAAATCTATAATGCATTCTTTTAGATGGCAGTGGAGATGCATGTTGGGGGTAATACTGCTTTTTCCATACAGATGCTGGACTTCTTTTCCAAACTTTAGAAATAATAAATCAGCTTTTAGTACATCATCAGTACAAATTATTGGATTAACCAGGTATTGACAAGCAAGAACAAATGTTTGCCAGCATCTAAGATGATCTGCTGGGATGATTCCATTCAGGGCATAAACAGAATATACTAATGTCCAGTTTTTCCATTGAGATGCAGTATAAGTACCGTAATTGGAAGATATCTTGTGGGGCAATCTGCCAAAACCAGTTGAAACATCCAAGGACTTGATCTTTTCCTCTAGGAGTTTAAGTTGTTGTTGATTTAAGACACCGTTTGCTAGCCATAGTTTAAACATATGTTTTGCAGTTCCCAAAAACAAATTGTGCATAGGATCAATGGCCGAGTACCTTATCACATCAAAATATTCTAATTTCAAAAGAGAACTATAATAAACACCATATTCTTTTGCAAGCTTTTCAAATTTGGTTTTTGTTTGAGCAGTTCTTACTTTCTCAGCATGGCGACGATGGCTTACATTGTCACGGGGAGGCCAATTTTGCCGGTCGAAACCAGAATAATCAGTTTTTTCTGTAAAACKGCTTGGGAAAAATTTAAAACATTTCGAACAACCTCTGTGTGCAGAGTGTCCTTTAAAGCCACAGAGCTTTCTAAGTGCAGGTATATCAGCAGAAGCACAAATTACTGCTCCCCTGTGTGTCATGCTATATGTCATATGATACCATAGCATTGACTGAAACCCTATATCCATCTATCAGACTGTATGATACACATTTGTAGCCCGAATTGATATACTCAAAATAAAGCCATATTTCGCAACCACCAAGGAACAGAAATCATTACACTGTGCAGCAAAGGAACTTTACTTATACTAGTGTGTAGTCTGACACCATGCCACAATGCCTTTAGTTCATCAAGAACTGGATCAAGAAAAGGGTTTAATGACTTTGGTTCTTTACTCAATTCTGGTATAATTCCTGCTACAATTATGTTTTCCCATTTATATCTTTCTTGGCGAGGAAGATTGAGAAGTACCAAGTAGATTGCACCAACTGATCTCCGCACTCTTTTGAGCGACCTTTTGCAAAAGCTTTTACTGAACATATTCTTGGTACCAGCTGGTTGCCAACACGTATAGTGCAACTGTCGAGATTGTATAGTGTGCAGCATTAGGTTCTGGAAGTGCCTCCTCCCCATTTAATTCTTGAAATAGATCAGCTGCATCTTTCTCAGACCATATTTCCTCATCGCTTTCACAGGCATGGCTACATTCATCCTCTCTATCAGTTTCTGAATCTTCCTCCTAAAACAAAAGCAAAACTTTAAAATTTGATGGTAAAATGTCACAAAATCATATAATGATAATAATAATAATAATGAGAATTGAAAATTGTAAATGAAAATTCATCTGCAATGGTGTTAATAAATGAATAAACTGGATAAAACTTTGATAGATGAGGTGGTAACCCATGTGGGATGGGCTCGGAAATCGTATAAAAACATGCGTAATAGGTAAATTACGAGCCTTATGTGAAACGACTGAAGAAGAGGGCAGCTGTTTCAGCCTGTATTGGGCCTCATCTGGGCACAGTGTATCTAGTGAGCTGGTAGAATCCCACCAAAAGTACATGATAGATGAGGTGGTAAGACGTGTGGGATGGGCTTGGAAAAAACTTTGTTTGTTGATGCATAAACTGTGCCAACATATATTTTTTGGGAATGGAGGGTTGATTAAGATAATAATAACCTGCTTGATATAGCAACATTAACTAGGGAGGTAGAAAAAAAAATGGAAAAAAATGGAAAAATGAATTGAGGATCAGTCTGTTGAAAAAGCTTTTGAACTATTAATTGTGAAAGACAAATGATATAATTTCTGTCTTCTAATATTAACAGCCCGGCTACAGCCTTACTGTTACAGACCTTACAATCAATCATAGGTGCACATAATCTATTTACATRGTGTAAAATAATTTTATAAACACTGTAGGATTTCTTTGACACATACCAACAGTAACTTGAATCATGTGCTTAGTTGAACCGAAATCTGATTCCCCTTGATTTACATTTACTCAACTCTAGATAGCTCAAACCTTTTTTGTATGTTTCTTGAAAGTTTGAGTTATTGCGATTCTACTGTAATAACAAAATTAYATTCAAATAGGAAAAGTATACATATTGTTTTCATACCATTGCATCACTGTCTGTAACCTCCACAGAATCACAATCATGTTGCTCTTTTTGTTCGCTGTGTTCAGTCACAAAACTATTACTATTTGTAGCTTCACCTATGAAGTAAATAAAGCCAAATTGATCTTTAATATGATATAAAAGAATAAAAAAATTTGAAATGGCTAGCTTGAAAATTAAATTTTATTTAACTGGCCATGACACTCTGAAACGTTCAGCGTTTCATTTGTATCACTGTGGTTCCAAACTTGTGACAAGGTCCTGTCGAACTAGAGTAAAGCTTTATGGAGATAATCATGAAAACATCAGATTTTTTGCATATCAAAATATCACCTCTCCTAAAGTATGGGGCTTTATATATCTCTGCCGCATTCACTAAATTTTGATCCCAAAAGAGCCATCATTTCATCATTTCATTGTCATCATTTCAATCTATATCCTTCATGGTAACAAACTCTTGTTGATGTAGCGTTGCTATGGTAACATTGGACGTGATCAGATTTCATGGCAGTTACCAAAATAATTTCCCTAAGCTTACAATATACATAACATTATAACTGAGATTTAAAAAATTACCTGTCATTTCAATTTCCATGTCAGAGTTTTCACTATCTGAAGCAGCAAAGATGCTCTGAAAAGCTTGTGAGTTTTCAATTGTGCCAGCGCCAACAACACGTGATTGAAACGTGGATGTTTTCGTAGTTTTCTTTATCCATGTACCTGACTTTTCATTATAATACGCCTTTCGATGTCYCCAAAAAGAGGTTCTTGACAAATATTCCTCACAATGGCCACAGTAAATACTACTTTGTTTTCGGAAGCAAGACCGCGGTAAACCAGACATATTTAATTCGTTGAACAAACAAAGATAGTAAGGATAAGAACGGCCTAGGTACGAGAACGGTTTGCTACGGTGATCACGTGTGTCCTCTCTACCAATCACTTTGCTAGACCTCGCTCTCAGGAATGAGGTTGGAATTTGACCTAAAAGTGCTCCGCATCACTCTGAATGCTGCGATCGATCGCTCCAGTGTATTCTGTTAAACGTTTCTCTCTCTGCAATCTCCTGAACGGCAATACCAATGGCTGACGAAATAAGTTTACCCGATCACTACGTAAATTTACTCGAAAGGGTCATAGAGGAAAACAAAAGTTTGAGAGAGGAGGCGAGAGCCAATGCAGTGTTACAACAAAAGGTTCTAGAAGAATTAAACCAGAACAAGGCCTCCAGTTCAGATTCTGGCAAACGTCCTCGATCTTCCAAAAGAGCATCTACCAAATTAATCGTGCCCCTGCTTTGTCGCGTGAGTACATATTTTTTAGTTTGAATAACTATAGAATTATAGCTTTTGAATATCACTTCTATTAGAAAGTTTGAGTCTCGAACTGCATGCGGGTGAACTCAAAGGGACTCAAAGTGTAACAGTAAACAGACGCCATGTGCTTTGGTCAAAGCGCTAGATATCCAAAACTCGAGTTGATGATTCAATAGCGATAAAAAAGAACCGCCAATAATGTAAAGAATCTAAAAACTAAACAGAAAATGGAGTATCTTTAAGCAGAATTTGGATCTATCTTGAATTTCATGCGGGTGAACTCAAAGTGTGACA